GCTTCTGCCGGTCGAGGGGAGGGAAATAGATTATTGCTTCGCCATCCTCTCTGGAAGCATTCGCGACATGCCCAAACCATCGCCATTGTAACATCTCAGTTTGATGAAGCATCAGCTATAGACCAAGGGTCTCCGATTTCTGTAATCCGAACTATGTCGAGACGCGTGAGGCCAGCGATTCGTCTCAGAAAGCCCATTTCGGCCGCTTTTACCCAAGATCGAGGTTTTTCAGTCATAGTCCACGGCTCAGCATCGTTGGTAAGAATTGGGATGAAGAGGAGCTTGAACACTGAAAGCTTTCTCTTCAGACTCAGCTACGCTTTAGTCACAGTGATTCGGGTTAGTCCCCCCAGAATGTCACGGGATACTCTAATCTGTCGGTTGTTCTCTTCCTCCAATTTTCTATCCAAATTAGGCACGACCCTGAAGTACTTGAACTTCTCCACCTGCTGCACTGCCTCCGTTAATCTGAAGAGAGCAACGGGCAGGCGAATGAGAAGGCACTAGGATTTTGGTTTTAGATGCGTTCACACGCATGCCGGGCACGTCGCACTCAGCTGCAAACCTTTCTAAAGAGCACTGAAGATCAGTTTCAGAAGATGCTACTTATACATGATCGTCTGAAAACAGCAACCTTCTTGTTCTCAATATCTCCTACACCGATACACTCATCGCTCTTGCTGCGCGTAACTTCTATCAAAGTAAAACAGGAGGGGGGGGGGCAGGACGCAGCCTTGTCAGAACCAGGGCCAAATGTGAACGTATTCGACTTATGATTTATTATGATGTATTGAGAGATTCTATGCCTCGTTGACGAGAGTCCAATTATGTCGAGTTATTACTATCTAATTTCACCGACTAGGTCCTTGTCTTGCCTGAATGAGGATATGTTCCAGTTTCTGACTATGTTCCCACTGGCGGTGTCGTTACCATATAGTCTTTTCTGAAGCGCTGTAGTGACTCCTTGCTGGCTGGCTCCTCCGTTCATAACGAGTAACAGCTGCGTTTTTGACTGATTGTGTTGTTACTTCGTTTGCTGCCAGAAAGTGATGTGCAGAAAGTGTTCTGATCACCACCTTTTTGCTTCCTGCCTCGGTTACCCAAAAGGTTGCGTGACGTTTGGTAATCTGAGGGACGACCGAGCCGTTACGTCAATACCATTAAAGGTAGGTGGTAACATTTTACGGAGACTTCGCTACGGTCTCCAACCTTCCTCTTTTCTCATCAGGGCCAGCAACTGCGAAATTTTAAATATTAATGTGCGAAAAGTTTGGATAGTGCTTTTTCGAGTTCCTTAGTGATTTCTGATCTCACCTGCTTGTGCCGATTCAGCAGAATGATTGATATGTATCCATTTTCTTTAACCGTTCAATGATGAGGGACATTGTGGTTCAGTGTTTCGAAGCAATGAATTGTTTCTCGTTGTTTAGACAATGTGTTTGGCTGGTGATACCAAAACAGTGTATGACAATACTGGTCAAGTGATGTAACCATTTCTTGTATTGCCTCGCTATCTGAAAACTACTTGCACATAATATCGTCTCCAAATTTTACTAATTTCGTGCTTCCACTTGCTTTCGTTTCTTCATGTACTATTTGTTTTAAATAGACTAAGATTCTTCAGTAATGTTTTCTAAGTTTTAGAAAATTGCATGGTTGGTTTGTGGAGAAAGTTGTCCTCCGTTCATAGAAAAGTTGTCATAATGTATGAAGTTCAACTCAGTATTACTACCTATAATTTCTTGTTGTTGATTACAGAGACTTAAAATGTTTCATCTTCTCAATTTGTTGCTATAGTTCATTAGGCGTCTTTGAATTTTTCTATTTTACTCTGATACTGTTGCCGTGTAAGGCGGAAATCATTAAGCCGGAATGTGGCAGCATTGCCCCTCCGCCCGCTTTGCGTCTAGCCGCCTCGACAGACCATTTAAACAGGCCACGAGGGTATTTAAGCATCTTCAGTGCAAAAGACTCATACATCGAGTTGGTCGATCCTAACACGTCAACTTGTTCCTATCAAGTTGCGGGGGGTGGGGGGGGGTAAAATGAGTTCTCTCACTGCGCAATGTTTATTGATCCAGAAAGCACGATAGAATGTGATTAATTAGGAACTAGTTCTGCTAGGAGCTACAGCAAAGGTGACGTATATATTTTATACTTTTCCACTAACTTTAGTAGAACCGTAATGGGCATATTAAAATTACTGGGAGTATTTGTGCTGCTACTGTTGAAAAGATTTAAGAAAGGATGAAACCTGTATGCGACAAAATTTTCAGCTGCAGCTCAACGACATTCCGTGCAATTGGCGTTGGTATATGAATTCTACCCATGGCTATCGCTTGTGTCTTCTCCAGGCATTGACACGTTATGGAGGTAGCAATTTCCTCCGTCCGCATATGGCCGACTTTCATCTAGCCCTGAAACGTTCGGTTAAATCCACAAAGTTTGTGCTGCTTGTTTTAATGGATTGCGTTTACCAGCAATTTTGCTGATACAGTAAGTAGCGAAAGACTGTGCAGAGACACCGACAAATTTGTTTCAAGTAGTAAGTGACAAGGTTTCCTTCATCTTCATCTTCCATCGCCGCTTCTCCTTTCGGGTCGCGGAGGCAGACGCGTCAGACAGTG